AGAGAGAGAGAGAGAGAGAGAGAGAGAGAGAGAGAGAGATGCCTTACATGACAGTAAACTCCTGATTGATGGCAAATATAGTGCTGTCGTCAAAGTCTTTCGTTGACTTCACGTCACTCTCGCAGAGAAGGACTTGTCGTTTGAGTTTTGGAAATGCTATTAAAGACTACAAAATATATGATAAAAGTTGTCAAACTCTGAACTCAACGCAAAATACAAGCAAAACAAACCCATAGAGTCTTTCTGAGCTCCGGGTCGGGCAACTCAGTGGCCAATCGAAGGTTTTCATAACTGATCCGATCGTATGGGCGATCATTCCATACGAATAGCACTGCCATCTGAAAGGTGGTAACATCGAGGTCGAATTTACCAGCATTATTGCTAAACGTTAACTATAAACATAAAACACAAACAAAACTCAATATAAATTGTTTGAAACAAATGCGAAAACAAACTAACAGTTCCGTTGGACATGTGGTGATACCACTGAAGTTTGCGGCCGTTGTGTTGCTTGCGATAGAACTCCTCCACTTCGGGTATAATGTCCTCCATTTCTCGGGGCAGTGACACCTGGACGCGCTCCGAGCCTCGAGCCCACGCGCCGGCGTTCAGTATCTTAATGTTGATCGAATCGGCCAAATGGTGAGCACCGGTGTTGGCCGCCGATGAGCACCGGTTGGCGTTCTTGAACTGTTGGTTGAGGTCTTCGCTGACTTTGATGTCTTGGAACATTCGGCCCAATTTGTTCACATACTCCGCAGGCATACCGACGTCCCGAAGCCACTCAACCATATTCTCCTCCTTCTCGGAATCGGCCGAAGAGTCGAGAATGAGTCGTCGCGTGAGGTGTGCCTTATGGTAGCGCATAAACACGTCTTTGTTTTGGATGTATTTCAATACTAATAGCTGTCATTCAAGACATTAGTTTCATTATAAACAGTATTGCATTATTTAAATGGTAGACAAAGTGATCAAATTCTTACCACTTCTTTGAGTTTGGCTTCGATCTCATCGGATGTGAGTTTACGACTGATGGGTGTCTTCCTGAGCAACATATCACAGTAATTGGCCAACAATTCCGGACACCGGGATTCGGGCTGCGCTTTACTTGAATTGCCCGCAACACTAGTGACATAAATGTTAGATAACTAAATACTAATCAAAACAATAGCATTACCTCTTGAGCTGACGGGTCGGAAGATCTAATCGAAAGACGGACGTGTCGTTTACCACTTGTTTGAAGGCCTGAAAAACAAATAAAACATTAAGTGTTTAAACAGAGCGATAAAGCGGTCAATACTTTGTCTCGTGAGGTGAGGAACCGCGGGTCGTCGTTGAAGGCCTTCTTGACCAGAAGACTGAACCGTTGGAACAGTTCCAACAGTTGTTCGATGTATTTCTCGGAGTCCTGAGTAATTATCTCTGCCGATGCCATCATATCGGCCAACCCTTGGTCTATGATATGGCTCTCCAGATACTCAAGCATTGGCACAATTCCTTCCGACACCCGATCCATGAGTCGAAACATTAGCTGCAATTCTGTCACAAGTAAACACAACAACAATTAAAACACCATTAAGTTAATGACACTCCCATTAAGTGTGCTAATCATCAATCATTGCTTTAACGCCCGCATACAGTGAGTGCACGAAAATACAAAACACTGTACACTTACTGTTGGTGTCGTTAAATTTAATCATTTGTGGACATTCGGCGATTATGATATCCTTAAACGCAGTGATGAGTACTTTCACACAACAATCCAAGAGCTGATCCCATCAAACAGACAACAAAATACAATTAACAAAATCATTGCAAAGCACTCATAACTGATGCACTGACCGCCTGTACGGAACCGGAGTAGGACTCCAAGTAACGCTGTGCCCGCTGTTCCTCTTCGACCAGTTTCATGTCGGCCCAAGACATGTACATCTGAACACCGTTGGCCTCCAGATATTCGGGCGCTTTGGTCCGGTAGAAGGCTTCGGTGGCCTCGATGTAGGCCTTCTCGAAGTTGTCGCGATAAATCTGGAGCCGATCGATGGGATTGGAGCACAGGTTAACGTAGGACTCGCGCACACCGATCACCAATTGCGAGTCAAAGGCCTCGCCGTTGCGCTCGGAGTGGACCAGTTTCATGGCTGAGTTCTGGAGCCGGTGCTTAATGTTGGAGAATATGCTGGCGTTCCAACTGTCCAGCATTAGCTACAGGTGCCAAACAAACCAAATAGCATTAACATTTAAATGATTGAATGGACACAGAGATTGTCTGTCCATTTGGTGACAATACCTTTCTGACAATACTCTCCTCGTTGTTGCCCTTCTTCTGTGCGGTATTAGTGGGCGGTTTGTTGAGCAACGCCTGCTCTAACTGATGGAAAGGCATCGGCAGGTATGAGCACTGAATGAAGAACTTGCACCACGAACTGATGTACGCCTTGAGCAGCGCCTGGTCCTCCTGGTGTTGCATCACCACCTGTACAGCACATACACAACACATACAATCATTGCAAACATATCAACATTATATGTTATCTTATGTAATCCTAAGTATTTAGTGTTAGCCTCAAGTGTGTGTACTATTCAAATGTATGTACAGAATATTCTTATAATGTAATTGTTATGTATCGTTGACTAACCGAAAAAGTCAACCAAAATAAAATTCACAATATGTTTGTGTTATATGTATGAAAAGAGTGATCCAAATTCCAAAGACATTTGTTTGGCAATTAATTTAGTACTCAATTCTGGGTTTAAATTAAAGTTTTCAAGGACTAGATGTTTGAGTTTGTGTACAGAATATGGAAAGGTATACAACATAATAGTGCATCAATACTATATTGCATGGAATCGTATAAATCATTATACGAAACGAGTTTTACGAGAGAGAGAGAGAGAGAGAGAGAGAGAGAGAGAGACTTATGTAACAATATTTTTTGTCAAATCATTGAAAAGATTTATTTATAGGTTTCTTCGCTAAAAGGCTGAAAAACCTAAATTCACACAAATAACACATGATTTTACTCATTGCATCGGAGAGAGCACTGGTATGTATCTCATCGATTACATAAGTCCTTAAAACAAGTGGATTGGGTTGTAATCAAATCACATCATCCGATATCTTATATCATTTCAATGCCATCGCTTTGTATACACAAAGACTTGTGTGGAGTCACTGAACCCTAATCTAAAACATGTGTCTAATTATTAAATTCATATAATTATTGTTTTATAAATACAATTCAAATCCATTTGTAAGACATTATATCGCAATTATATAATAGATTTTAGTTTTTTAAAACTTAATAATAAAATCATTTTTTCTATAGTATAACGAACTCAAAAAAAACTTTAATATAAGGAAAGTTAGTTAAAAATTCAACACAAAAACCTTATGTATAATGAAATAATATTTTCTACACATTATAAGCGCTAATATAATGGATCGTTTATATAGTGTATGCTTTTGTCTTCACATTACACAACACAAATCATGAGTATATTTATCAACAATTTTTACAATTTATAAATAAGTTAATTGTTCAGAAATTAAAATTAAATCTTTGTGTGTGTGTGAGTGAGTGAGTGAGTGAGTGAGAGAGAGAGAGAGACTTACGATTTGTGCGAAATGAATGAAATCTAGTATATCTTCGCGGAGGTTAGAGTGCAATTTGATGGCACCCTTTTCGTCCCAAAGACACACCGAATGCACATTCCTGTCCATCACCAGCACATCCAACACATCCACCAAAACCACAATTCGATAGCCAATGATTGATATGATTTAAATAAAATATAAACATTCATTAATTGAATGCAACAAATATTAGGAATTAAATAATGATTGCTTTGAGCGGTTGTGCTCTGCCTTTGGGTGCGTGTGTTGTGACACATGTGATGACATACCAAAACAATTCATGCCATTGGCTTTTAGTGACCGACTCCTGGCGTAACAGTTTCAGTATAACGGGTCTCATCTTCGGCCAAATGTCCTCAAACTGAAGCGAACCCTTTTCCTGAAGACATCACCGAATGGAACAAATTATAAGTTTAGAGTTGGATGACAGGCGCTGCCGGCTATCAGCGGATGTGACCAACAAATCAATGGTCAAACATCTGGAGGAGAGACACCTCTCAATACATACCTTAAACATCAATGAATTGTTTGACATCTCTTTGGCGATAATGTCTTGTGATTTAAACTAAATTACAACTCGTTTTTGCGTTGATTTAATTTAATGGTAATAATGAGTAAATCAAGTGTGTATTGAGTGATGCGATCAACAAAACACAAATCAAATAATAACTAATATTTTTCACTCACAATATATATAACACACAAAGCATTTGTATTGTTGTTATGATTATATGAATTGGCATTTCATTCAATTGTCAACTAATTGTCAATTATAACTGATTGTGTGTTTCACTACTACTAGACTGTATTGAGTGGTGTTATTGTTATTGTAATGTGTTTTGTATTGTTTGTACGTTTGAAACAAACAATTGGTTCACAAAAACACACTTAAATGACATGATATAAGGGTCGGGAAACACACATTTGTTCGCGCCATTGGAAAGGGGGCTCATTTTGGACATTCATTTATTACTTCTCAAACAGTATAGAAAAATATAGTGCTTTTGAGTGCATTTAATATGCGTAACGTTCATTATGAACGGTCCCATTGATGGCCTCCACTAGTTTGTCAACACATGACAGTCCAATACTCTTGTTTTCAATGTCAAACTCTTTATACACTTCTTCAGAACGTAAAGAACGTGACACAAAACCAAATGATCACACAGTCATATGAGGGGGCGTTCATTACTTCATTATGGGGAGGGGGAGAAAGGGTGTGCAGACAAACAGTTAAAAACGTTACGCTGTATGTGAATACATAATACAAACAGTGCAGTGAATGCTGTGTTTATTATTAAAAACAAAACTTCAAAATTCAAACAAAAAATAAATACAATTTTGTCGTAAAACACAATACAAACGATTGACCCGTTTTTGGCCGCACATGTGTCCACCCGAT